TTAGTGGTTACTCTAATAAAACTAATGTCTTGAATCTGGTATATACATGTAAATTTGTTATCCGACAGCTAATGACTCTCTCGCTTAACTTTTAAGTAGCATTTTCTACAGACAAATGTGGTATATTCAAATGAGTGAGTGAGTGAGTGAATGAGTGAGTGAGTGAGTGAGTGAGTGAGTGAATGAGTGAGTGAGTGAGTGAGTGAGTGAGTGAGTGAGTGAGTGAGTGAGTGAGTGAGTGAGTGAGTGAGTGAGTGAGTGAGTGAGTGAGTGAGTGAGTGAGTGAGTGAGTGAGTGAGTGAGTGAGTGAGTGAGTGAGTGAGTGAGTGAGTGAGTGAGTGAGTGAGTGAGTGAGTGAGTGAGTGAGTGAGTGAGTGAGTGAGTGAGTGAGTGAGTGAGTGAGTGAGTGAGTGAGTGAGTGAGTGAGTGAGTGAGTGAGTGAGTGAGTGAGTGAGTGAGTGAGTGAGTGAGTGAGTGAGTGAGTGAGTGAGGAATCAAATAGAAATATGTAACAGTGAGATATCCAAGACTTAGATAAGACATAATGTATGCTTACATCACTCCTCCGTTGGACACTTTGAATCCCATGACATTGATTTTGGCAGTTTCACCTCCCTATACTGCTCAAGCCGACAGTTAAATGCTGTACACTTATGTAGAATATCTGGATCTAATCACCTTAAGACTTTTCTTATCCACCTTTGATGTTTTGTTCAGATAGTATTTTAAGATAGACTTTGATTAGAAATCCATACCACACCTTTTCCAACTAACTTAGCTGGTTAAGGTGGCATAATCAACACTAACTTTATGATGTAAACTTCTTCTTGTTCGCCTTCATCCTGATCTAGAAGTCTTTTCTATCATTTCAAGTTTCATTCATCATTATCCTGTGATTTCCTTTCATACTTATCATTTGCATTTCCGATATTACATTGTATACACTTCATCCTCACTGATACCATTGATTCCTAAGCATTATTTGTACATCTCTATGATACTGGGTGATGGTTGAAGGTGAAATCAAAATTTGGTGTATGACAGGATTTGAATCTAGGTTTTCAGGCCCATGCTGTTTACGCGTTACTATCGCTTGATAGTAATCATACTGGCTGCTTAATCATGACTTTTCATTCCATTCTAAGTCTACTTGAATTTAAGAAAGGACCATCATATTGATTACCAGTTTAACTATCTGAGAAAGCTGTAGTTTCACAGACTTGAATTGATATTGGATGATGAGTGAAGGTGAAATGAGTTACCTCCATATTATATGTGAAAGTTGAGTGTATAGTATACACTTTAAAAATAATTCACACTTAGAAATGAACTTACTTGTTTTCGATAAGATGAATTTTTACGTTGTTTAAATGTATTTTAGCACATTTGTATTACAGTACAAAAACTACTAATCTATCATATTAATAATGATAATACACAACCTTAACAGTTATTGAAATTAAGATATATAAATTTGTAACATTGAAAATTTTATAATTTTATGATTATAATAAGAATGTTCATGTAGGCCGCTTTGTAACCTATTTCAATCAACGTTTTATTTCTTAAATTGTCAAGTTTTCTAATCGGTTTTATTCAGAGACAAAAATATTGTTCACTGATAGCTATCCTGTAACAAGTTTAGATGTATAATATACTGAAGGCTATGCTAAAGACTTCATATTAAATTGTTTATCTGATATAATATAAAGTGACACAACATAATTTACTGGATGAGGTTTTGAGCAGGATTTATTGCTCATATTCATATCAAAGTAAATCATATAACTTTCAAAGTTCACTTATGCAGTCTAACAGTTCTTAATTCTTTTATTTTAGTCACAGTAAAACTTTCCATATATCTGCAATTTGTTATGGGTCATTCCTGTTACATGTTATAGGTGAACAAAGATTCTGTGATTGATTTTTCCCTCCACCTAACTGTATTGGATTTTAGAATTGTCACCTTATCCCATTCTATAGTTCGACTATGGGTCAGTGTATGCAGCGCGATAGTTGATTTCGTCTCCAAACTACTTTTCTTAGTTGGGTTTACCATTATGTGTTTCGCTGTTCTGACTGACCCAGATTGACTGCTTTAACCTCTATACTTGACCTCACAATGATTACATGGTGTTTAATAGATTAGATTATTTTTCCTAATTGGCTGTAGTGTATCTTTTAACCTACAAAGTTTCTTTTTGAACGAGTTTGTCAGTTTAAATACCACCCTAGTGTTAGTGTGGCATTATTATGGTACTTATTATGTCAAGATTTTAATTACCACTTGACTTAGGACATGTGAATCACCCATGGAAAGTTGTCTTACTATCTGCGAAGACAAACTGACTATAGATACTCTTTTAAAGGGGAAATGATTCACACCCGAAATCTAATTATTGAATATCTGACGTTTTAATCACGAGGTCATTGCTCCAGTTTAAAGTAAACGTATATAATTCCATGTATACAGACACAGCACTTCGAAAGAATTAGTTTATACAACAACTACTACTAATGATGATTATAATAATCGCTTTATTCCTAACTTTTTTTTTGGTACAATTTGGAATTTCTAGTATAGTATACTATCAAATATGTACTCATTTAAAACATTTCGAAAAGTGTTAATATAACAGTTAAAGTTATGTAAAGAATATTAACAACCTGGAAAAATTTTTTTACCGTGTCAGTTAAAATATGGGAAAGAGAATATTTATTGTTACAGATTTGATGAGTTCTGTTCTAGCACTTTTCCCACACATAATATGCATGCTAGTTAAGGCACAGTCAAATCTTTGTATTTAGCTGTACGAGTGTACATTTTTATGTAATTTCTTCTTGTCTTCTCTGTGGAAATATAAGGAGACAACTATGGATAAAGCGAATGGTCAGTATCAGTTAAAATAACTGGTACTAGTTGTCTGCTAGAATTTGAATGTTTGTCAACTACAGTGTTAAGCAGTTGAGCCAAAAGCACAACATTTACTTTACTGACAACTTCCAAAGCCTTACAAAATATAACACAGTTCTTTTTTAGTAGACCAGGAAAGATCAGTGGGGAACAATAAAAAAGAATAGGTAAAATAGGAGAATTAGTAAATTTCAAGTTGTTATTCATCGTAGACTGACATCAGTCGGAGGAACAAAGGAAACCTGGGAGCACTGGACTGCTTTTTAGTCCTAGTGTAGGACTCCTCAGCAGTGCGCATCCATGACCCCGCGAGGAATTGAACCCGTGACCTTCAGGATCCGTGGCCAGCACGTTACCATTGAGCCACTGGGCCAGAACCCAATGGTCCATATTTCCAACTTCTGTTAGCTCACGATATAGCGCGACCGCCACCCAATGTCATTGTTGAGTAACTGTCCTCACGACCATCAGGCGGGTTCGATCCCTGGCGGGGTCGTGGGTACGTACTGCTGAGGAGTCCCGTACTAGGACGAAACAGCGGTCCGGTGCTCCCAGGTTTCCTTTGTTCCTTAAAATGATGTCAGTCTGCGATGAATATCAACTTGAAATATTTCCTAATCCCCACAACTCCCTCAAAATGCAATTGAACTGGTGCTCATTGGTGACTAGTTTCGAGAGGTATTTTTTCTCGAAGTTCCAATGAAGCATCCGTGATCGGTGGGGGTAAAGCCTGATGGTCGTGAGGACAGTTACTCAACAATGACATTGGGTGGCGGTCGCGCTATATCGTGAGCTAACAGAAGTTGGAAATATGGACCACTGGGTCCTGACCCAGTAACTCAATGGTAACTTGCTGACCACGGACCTGAAGGTCGCGGGCGCGCACTGCTGAGGCGTCCCGTACTAGGATGAAACACCTGTCCAATGCTTCCAGGTTTCCTTTGTCCCTCTAACTGATGTCAGTCTACGATGAATGACAACTTGAAATATGCCTTAATCTAAAGAAAGTAAATTGGTAGACAGACTGACATACAAACTTGTGCTAAAATGCCGTGTATCTGAGTGTAATCTGTGCCACAGTCAGTCTACGATGAATAGCAACTTGAAATATTCCCGAATCCCAACAACTCCCTCAAAATTGAATCAATGAATTGCAAAAGTAGAGGCTAAGTTATGCCAGGGAGTCTCAGTTTATTTATGTATTGCATGAAACGAAAACCTTTCTTGAAAATCAACAACAAATGCAACGACCAACAAAGATCAGAAGTAAAACTCAATCCAAGATAGTTAACACTCGATTGACTTTCTACAGTAATACCATCAGTGCAACTGAAGTCATGGAACATAAGCAACTTGTTTACACCTGAGACTAAAATTAACCGTCTAACATTCTGAAGGGTTTAGCTTGAAACCATTTGAGAGAGACCACTGGTTAATTTTAGACAAGAAACCATTCAATTCAAAGAAATCTAAGTGAAAGTTGACTGGAATAGACACTCCCAGGTCATCAGGATACATTATAAAATTGGTTCCAACAGAATAAAGTAAATCATGCGAAAAGAACGAGAACAGAAGTGGAGAGAGTACTACACCTGGAGGCACACCGACTTTAGAAAGCATTGAAGTGGAGCTTTCCGTTTATAAACAGTATACTATTTCCCTTCATAAAAATAAAAATACAGCCACTTTGTAACCCATAGCGCAGTATAAGCCATGGCAAGCTTATTGAACGAGAGTGATCTAGGAACAGTGTCAATGGCTGATAAGTAATCCAAAAAGGCACAACGAACATACTTAACACCATTGTCTAGATCAGAAATAATATTTTGATGCAAGACAATATCAGCATCTAAAGTCCATCTCCTGTGTTTGTAAGCTTGAGATTTCTACATGCCTTTAATGAAGACTGATGCACAAACAAAAGTAGTTTTTCCATTGTTTGCAAAATGAGGAAGTTATAGCGATATTGTTGCATAACAGATATATAGTTACTATTATTATAATGCATGTATATAAATATGAGTTAGCTGATTGTTTTCACTGATGTATTTTCTTTTGTATTGCTTCTCCCCTTTTTTTTGTACAGCTATTCGCACTTTTTTTCGCCATCTTTCTTTGTTGTGTAGTACAACAACGAAATGTCGTACAGTATACTGAAGTACAAGTGGATGCATGAAACAGAGAAGAAATATTCACCTGTGAAAATAGTCTTATCTATCATGAATGTGTTTTTTTTAACTCATTGTTTTTTACCCGTTTATTTTTTACCTTATCATCTCATTCACTCACTCACTAATTCTCACTTTCTCTATGACTATTCTACTGAATAACAGAAAATATTGGCAAAATGCTTACATTATGATATTTCACCATGTCAGTTATCGTTTTCTCTTTTATCATGTATTTTTCAAAAAGCATCTGAATCTCATTCCATAGTTTTGTTAAAAGTTATCCTAGTTGACTTATTTAGGATTATGTAAAGTGACAAAGTGAACTATTAAGAAGAGGTTTCATAATTAGTCAGTCTTGAACTTATAGTCAAGTACGAACATCAACTTAATCTCTCTCTCTCTCGTTGTGTTCTGCACTCTTCCCCCCCCCTCTCTTCTTTGTTTATCTCTGTCTGTTGCTAGTGTCTTTCACTTCCTCTGGCACAGACATGGTACCTCTTGTACACCAGTCCCTTTAAATAAGCATCCTTTACTCATTAACTCAAGGTCTGCATTCCACTCTATATGAAGCATAGTCTTCTTATTTGACATTATTTGCATCTTTTTCTCTTCATCAGTGAATGTCTTCTTTTCTATTGAAGATTTTCCTTGAGGATAATTTGTGTAACTTTCTTTCTTTTTTTTCTTTGTTTTAATCTCGATCTCCATATATGTATATGCATATGTTAGTATGCATAAGATACAATAGTGTGAGATGCAATGCATAATATATATATCTCAACTTATCATATCTGTCTGTCTGTTTGTCTGCCTCTCTCTTCCATTATTCTTTTTTGAATAATGAATTATTAATGATTCTTGTATACTGAATGACTTCATTCTTAATGTTTTACTTTTCATTTCAATGTACACTCTACTACGTTATTTTGTGTATTTTTCAAATAATGTTTGTCTAATATCTTATTTTTATTTTACTTTCTTCTCTCTCTTTCTTCTGCTTCCTGTATACTAACCTTCCTTTTCTTCACTTATCTAGTGTATGTGTATATATGGAGATACTTATCTTCTTGTGTGTTTGTGTGTGTGTGTTTATATGTGCACATGCATGCTCGCCTGTGCATGTATTCACTCGCTTTTCTACTGCAATGAGTTCACTATCTTAAACTAAATAACTAATCAGCGAATGCATTTCTTTAAACTCCAACAAGAATAATCATGATAATATCAGCTGATTTAACTTTTTTCTTTCTTCTTGTTGTTTTCATGTGCTTGTGAAAAAAAAACAGTTTTACTTTTCAACTTATTAGTAGTATTATTCCTTTGATTTTAGTGAGAAGTAAGGAATCAACACAACTGTGTAAAGGTGAAGCGGCCTACTTTGTCTTTTACTACCTGATGTTGTGCAATAGTAAATAACTTTCATATATTTCCTAACTTATAGAGTAACTAGATAAATGTTAGTGTGTGTAATTTCTGTACAGAAATGTACCAAATAGTAAAATTTTCTCCTAACTTATCACGCGCATTTACGCATCCCGTATCTCTCCTCACTTCTCACTGCCTACTGATAACTATATTTAAGTAACATACATTTTAATGACCCAAAAGTTCTCCACCGTCTCAGTACTCTGCAGCCAACATGAATATGTACACATGTCTAAATAAATATGCATATATTTGTATACATTTTTTGATCATTATGATCTGTATTTATATTTAGAAATTATTTTATTGCTCAACTATCATTTTCATCCAGCAATTTGAATGATAATTTTCTTCCTTTTTCCTGGAATAGACATTTAAATGTACACTTCGGTATTCTATTTTCAAAATTAAAAACCAAACGATGCAATAGTTAGAGAGGTGTGTATTTTGATAAAGCTGAAGTAAAATCGAAGTTTGTTTGTTTATTCACTTTTTTCTCCAGCTGGTTTGGAAATTTATATTTGTCAGTGAATGTCCTACTATGAATCTGGGATTTCTTTCGACATCATATTCAGACGTATCGCCGCAGCTTATGTACTTTACTTAAGTCCATATGTAATTGTTTGACATATCTCTCTGACTGGTACAGTTTTCAGGGTTGACTTTTGTCAATAACTCTTAGACAACGCGTACAGCTAATAGCTTGTTCTGAAGAACAAAGCAACATAGAATTTCTCAGGAAAAACCTGTCTCCGTGCATGTTATCACAATTCACGATGTGACACAGTATGAAACTGAAGAAAACAGAAAAATTCTGGAGTTATTTCTCGTTCATGTAATGGACTAGGGTACTGAATGACTAAGTACATTGGTTAGTCCCTGGAGTGTAATCGTTACTATTTTGTTTAGTCATAAGCCTCCAATGGATTTCATCGATATGCTTTTATTACACTGGAGATGTCGTAGTGCGCTTTGTTTACTGTAAAGTGCTTACACGTCAATCGATGGGAAATGCTTAATCAGGGGTTCCCACCTGTTGGCAATTATCAGTAGAGTTGAGGACCAAACAAAGCAAATTGCAACTTACACTCACGTAGTTAGATGACTGCATTGCCAACTTGGTAGACAGAATTCCAAAAATCGAATTCCTAGGAGCCTGTTGCTCATTACTTATTGTTTATTCATTACTTCTATACTCACTTGTTTGTTGATTTAACCGCTGAGACTACCTTCGTGTGTGATGTATAACCAATTATTTTACGACGATGTCATTCTTAGCGTGATAGCTCAATTTCTTTTGGGACCAGCCCATCTTCAGTTAGCTGTTACGCTATCGAACTTGTATCTTCCCAGAATTAAGAGAAAATGTCAAACTTACGGCTAGGAAATTGCATTTGATTGATATGTGGTGAAATGTATTGCAGTAAAGGCACACTATCACCTGTCTCTTAGTCCCTCTGAAGTCCAGTTTGGCACAACTGGTCTTTTTCATATCCGACGATTGTTGCAGCAAGCAGATCAATCAATGAGAATGTATTGTATAGTGAATTGAACAGTTCCATAATTTTCTGTGGCCCATTAGTACAGCCTAAGAAACGAAACTACTGAACATCTACATAAATGCATGAAAATTGTAAAGTCGAGCTTGTATACAACTGGAGGGAATTCTAGACGTGTAGTCAATTCTAAGTTGTGTAAAACATTTGATGTGGTTATCCATTTCAACTTTTTTGTTACAGTTTAACCAAACATTGGGATTATATATATATATATATATATATATATATATATATATATATATATATATATATATATATATATATATATATAGAACAACAGAATAGATTTGTGAGTTCTATTTGCACAGCAACCGATGACTAGTAAGTATTCAGAACATTTGGCAGGAGATCTTCGACTTTTTTCGTTGTCAAAATTCATCAGAAAGACATGAGGGAATTGTGCTCTCCTCTACACTGAAACATTTTCCTGTAAATTCGCTATGAGTTGACACAGATTTGAATCCTTTGCAGAATATGAGTTTTCTCAGAACTGCAGATACATTTCGCCCATACTTTCTGCTAAGTACAAAAACTAGAGCTAGAGGGTCACCTACTGATTGACTTCAAACATACAAACCTAGAGCGAAATTCACTGCAATGAAGTATCACTTAGCTTGGTGGCCAAACTATTCATCTGACTCATAAATTTTGGTCAGTGCTTTTGACTGGTCATAGTACAAGCTGTGACCGAGTGGAAATACGGGCGTGAGTATAATGATGCTAAGACTCAGTAGACACCTCAACTCAATACTTAAGACTGACCTCCCACAGTACCTTCTCCTTTACTCAGCCTCATAAAAATCAGTAGACAAAGACGGCCTGTGATTGCAAGACCAACTACAACTATATTGGACAAAATACATGGTAAGTATGCATTTACAAATTGGCGCGGAATCGTGTTCCACTCCTGGCCACCTCAAGAAAAATATTAGGCCACATCATCCTGGAGAGACTAAACAACACACTGCATTCAAAATTACAAAAAATACAGTTTGCTGGCTGGCTGCCTAGCTGGCTGGCTGGCTTCAGGAAGAACAAGTCATTTGCGCATCAAACTGAAACGCCAGACTACGCATCAATCATCATACAACAAATCATAGAATGGCACTCGACCGGATCTTCACCTCAACTTCATCCACTTTGAAAACACAGGTGTTTGACAGTGTCGATAGCACCGAGAAGTAATTTGGTAGATAGCTGATGTTTCAACACTACTGTCTCAGTGTCACCAACCTCATTCAACAGCTATATATATGCTATGCTATATGGTGCTACATACCAGGTAGGTGATTCACGGTGGAAAGATCAGTGATGCCTTTGAAGTGAAGACAGGAGTAAGACAAGGTTGCCGCATACTATCACCGACCACCTCCCCGATTGTGGTCGACTCGACTGGACTGGATCACACAAGAGACAACTGTGAGGTGTGGGAAGATGTGCATAGGCTGACTGTACCGATAAAATATCCCAGAACATTTGGATTTCGCCAACGATGTTGATCTATGTCTGATGTCATGTTGCGCAAACTCGAAGGTCTACAACAACAGCAAGCACCAATCATCATGGACGGGAGAAATGTAAAGGAAGTTGTCTCTCTCACCTACCTCTCTACCTAGGCAGCATCCTCTCAATTACAGGTGTCGGTGGTGCCACAGGTGAGGATGTCAAAGCCAGCCAGCATCGGAAAGACAGCAACATAGGTGTTTATTAGGGGAAATCGGTGTGGGGATCTGCTGCACTCAGTATGAAGCGTGAACGAGATCCGGATTTTCAACACCAATGTCATTCAAGTGAGTCAATGCTTCTATGTGATGATTGAGAGACTTTGTGGCACGTTACGCAAAGCATTCCCAACAATTTATAGACATTCATCAGCAGCTGCCGCCTACACTCGATGTTGAAGATAAGATGGCCAGAATAGTAAGAAAAAGCACCGAGGAACTCTGGCTGCTGGTGAACCGACCAAGAAGCTGTCGCCCAACAAATGTGGAGATGGATTGAATTGGACATACGCTGAGAAG